ACGATATAAATCAAAAGAAACTGAGACTTACTTTATTCACAGTTTATAGGAGTGTTTATTTTATCACGTTAGCTAGAAGAAATCATAAGAATTCCTTAATCAGCTAAATGTGTGTTAAGCAACACACACCAAGCAAATGCAAAATTTACAAGATAGAGTCTAGGTTTTCAGAAGACTATCACATTTATGTAACTGGTCATTTTTTTTTGAAGGAAACGAGGCCAAAACTATAACTGCCTCTGGAACAGGCAAAGAGAATTCCCATTAAGAAAGGAGAATGTGAAAGGCTGATATAAGCTGGAGTGACAGCTTCATATTTTGATTATTCATATAGAAACACCACAGCCTTTTCAGGACTATTGGTTTAAGTTACATTATAATGGAATCCTAGCACTAGAAAAAATGTGTCAAATATTAAAGTTCTATGCAGACTATTCTAAGTTCTCAAATAATAAATGTCCAGTCTAGCTTCACAGTAAGATCAAGGTGAGAAGGGCTTCAAAAAGCAGAGGGGATGACCCAGAACAGCTTGTGTCATCAGGGAAGTTTATGACATGGCAAGACAGAGGCGGCAGGACAAAAATGGAATCAAACCTCTAAGTACAGTCTTGAATCGGGCTATATTCTTTTTATACATTCAGCTATGCACTTCACACTGTGGAATTTCCTAACCAGACAGATTAGCACTTGCAGTGTTGTAAAAACTGAATTCTAGTACTTTAAACTCGGACTGAATGCATGGAGTCGACAGTTTTTCTTTTCTCCTCCAGATTTTGCAGAGGCAGAAATAATGTCTTATTCCAACATTCACAGTGCACATTTGCAAAATTATTATATAGCTTCAGTGTAAATGGCTAATTAAGTGATTCAAAAATTTATACTTACCACAGTCCATTTACAGGGGTAGCAGTTTCTGTTACTGCTATGTAAATCCTAGCTATATTTCAAAGCTATTTCTTAGTATTTAGTGTTTTGAAATCTCTTTTTACTTAAGTTATAGACAAGATCCTACTAATATAACACTATTACTCAGTCATTAAAAGTAGGAAGTTCTATAATGTGCAATGGTAATTTGACTTCCTTGACATGCATTGTGATGTAATTTTTTAACTGCATGATCACAGGCTCATTTTCCATAGGACTTGCACCTCATTCAGTGTGCCACTGTTCACCTAATGAGCTGCTATGCACCACTTTGTCCATTCTTTCCGAATACTGTCCGTCTCTTTATCCAGCAAAATGTAGTCCTTCCTCCTCCGCACCAGATTTTTATAAAGTGTGGTGTGCTGACAAGTAACACAGTTCCCCTGGCTAGTTCCCATCCTTATATACTTTCACCTCGTCTTAAATTTATCCTCTTCCATCAAAACTGAGGCCAAGCTTTTTTTTTTTTATCCTCAGCATGTCCTAGACTTAGATGCTTTCCCATCTTAGCCCTCATCGCATGAGAGCTTGTCCCACGCATTCCTCTTTTTTTTTTTCTGGCTTTTTTCCTTCTATCCTCATGTCACATGATATTTTCTTCCATTTGATCTGGAAGCCAGTTGGACACCTGATTATCTCTCAGACTCTTCCTGTGACTTTTCCCCTCCAGGCTGTGGGGAAAAGAATGTAACCAGTCAGTACAGGAGCACAGATGTATGTGCAATCCAGTCACACAAGGAAATCACAGAATTTACAGCCTGTTCAACCACAAATATCTGAAAAATCTCAAACAAGCATGTGCAAACAGGTGTGTGCGTAGGGGTGGGGGGAGCATTTCTCTGTCACACTTTCAAGCTTAACACTGACAAACCTAGGTGTTTTGTTTTGATTCTTTGTTTTTAACACAGAAACCAGAAGGAATGATGTTCTTTTGCTCCACTCTAACACAATACAAAGGAGCTCGGGGCGGGGGCGGGCGAGGGCAATCACCAACAGTGGCTATTCTATTGTTTCCTCCCAAAAACTTGGCACAGCAACAAGCTAGACGCAGCTGAAACATGCTGGCTAAAAACTTCTCAAAACTTCCATCTGAGAGAAAGTTTGTCAAAGCCACGGATACCTGAAAAAGGGTTGCACACCGGAAAATATTTGTAATCCCTACTCACATACAACATTGCTAGCATTGCCTGTAATTATGATTCACACATTTTTATGCATGAGATATTTTATAAATTACTGGTATGCTCTAAAAGCATTTTTTGTGGTTGGTCAAGGAGCACTTCCCTAATTTTGGTGTTTTTAAAAGTAAGCAATTTAATTTTAAAACAGGTCTACGAGAATTGTCTCAGCTCAAACATAATTTCCCATACTGGGGAAATTTCAAGGTGGAATGTTCTTTGTTCATCAGTTTGCATTTGAGGGTTTGTTTAGTTTTCAAATCCTTTCATGACAAAAGCCATTTGCCATTTCAGGTTAGAAAGGAATCCCCTTCCTAACAGACTTTCCTCAGTTTGTTCTGGTGAATAAGCAGGTATAGGTTATTGTCTTGAGGAAGATAAATGGATGGCAGAAAAGGACCTGCGGGTCCTGGTAAACACCACGTTGAACATCAGCCAGCAATGTGCCCTCGCTGCAAACAAGGTGAACGGTACCCTGGGCTGCATTCGGCAAAGCACTGCCAGCAGGTCCAAGGAGCGGATCCTTCCCCTCGGCTCAGCACTGGTGAGGCCATGCCAGGATGACTGTGTCCAGTGTTGGGCACCCCAGTACAAGAGAGACATGGACATACTGGAGAGTCCAGCACAGGGCCACGAGGATGATGAAGGGACAAGAAAGCAACTCTCCTATGAGGACAGGCTGAGAGAGCTGGGACTGTTCAGCCAGGGGAAGTGAAGGCGCAGGGGGATCTCACCTACGTCTATAAATACCTGCAGCGAGGGTGCAAAGAAGAGGAGCCGGGCTCTTTCCAGCAGTGCCCGGTGACAGGACCAGAGGCAACGGGCACAAACCGATACCCAGGAGGTTCCCTCTGAACATCAGCGAACACTTTGTCACTGTGAGGGGGACCGAGCACTGGCACAGGCTGCCCGGGGAGGTGGTGCAGTCTCCATCCTTGGAGGTGCTCAAAAGCCATCTGGACATGGTCCTGGGCAACCAGCTCTGGGTGTCCCTGCTTGAACAGGGGTGTTGGACCAGACACCCTCCAGAGGTCCCTTCCAACCTCAGCCAGTCTGCAATTCTGTAATTCTTTGGATTACCTCGTCCGTTCACTTAGGGTATCTCACGGATCTATACCCTTCACTATTTGTCATCATCTTCAATAGCTCAGTTTCGACTAGTAGTTAGAGAGTCATGTGAATAGCAAAAGACCTGTACTAGAGTCTTAATACTCGTAATGCTTGCAAGGGTAATAAAGCAGAGCACAAGAATCTTATTAACACCCTTCCTATATTCCTGAAAAGGTACAGCTTAAATTTCTTCAAGGACTGAAACTGAGCCATCAAGGAACTATCTAACTATGGGCACATCTCCTCATCTCACTTGCTGACACACACTCCCCAGAGGTGCCAAGCATTGCCAACAAGTACTGGTTACGCTACCTTGACAGAGGCATGACACTGTAAGCCTTCAAATGGAAGCACTTTCCTCGCACTTTTTCTAGGGCCCGTCCTGCCACCCCACAGTGACCACCACCAAACTGCCCGTAATGCTGCATGTGCCAGCAGGTGCATCTCAAAGACTGACAGCAATCCCAACCGTGCATGCACCTGCCCACATCCAGCCCAAGGTGCTCCTCACGGGAACACCAGCCTCAGCTGCCACTTCGCGGCAGCACCGACGAGGGCTCATCAGCGGCCAACCCGGCCCCGGGCGGCCGGGGGAACGGGGGG